GAATATACATTTTGTTAGTTATAGCGACTGTAGCACCTCTCTATGGTGTCCTGTTTAAATAAAGCCATTAGTGGGGTATACTTTTCTTGTATTTATTTTAAGGGAGGAAAATCATCGAATGACGGCTCCCACCTGGGTGAGGCGGGAGGGAGTGTCAGACTCTTACTGACTAAAAACCACCCCGTTCCTTCTCCTGCACGTCGAGCCGGAGCCCCGGTTACCCGTTAGGTTCTCCGCGACTATACTTTTCTTGCATAGAAGCACTATTTTTATGGATCGTCAGTATGCATATGTGAGCACCATGTTAGACTATAAGATTCTTTTTTTGTTTTGTTTTTTTTTTAGTAAGTTTTGTAATTAGTATAATGCATTAAGCGTGTCTTTGCATTGTTCTCACATATACGTACAGTATTGAAATATGTATCAGAGACATTGTAGAACATACTTTTTTTAAAAAGAGTAACGAATGGAGTTTCTTGCTCGTTCTTCTCCATTCGAATCTACATTTTGGACCGAGCGCCTAGCTTCACTGACGGACGGACTGACAGACTATTGTTTATTTTGTACTAGCGACCCGTCCCGGCTTCGCACGGGTGCAATATGCATGTATTATACATACAAACCTTCCTTAAGAATCACTCTATCTATTAAAAAAAACCGCATCAAAATCCGTTGCGTAGTTTTAAAGATCTAAGCATACATACGGACATACAGCGAAAGCGACTTTGTTTTATACTATGTATTGATGATTAGTTGAAGTACCAAATTATGGTTTAATTGAAATAAATGAGTTTGACTTTGACTTTGACTATACGACACCCGCGGAATGAGCAGGGTTGGTGAGAAATGTATCTACTCTACATATGTTAACAAAACATTAATTTCTTTGTTTTATATGACGTCATAATTAATGAAAGAGTAGGAACTGTATCAAAAATAAAAACTAATATAAGTTGACCTCTAATTGTCTGTCAAATTAATTTGGAGGGAGGTCGCATAGTATTGGTTGTTTTAAGTACGGTAGCCTTCAATGGATTGTTAAGGTTGTGTTGTAGTTAAAGCTATGGTATTAAAATGTGGTGATTTATGTGAGCGATAAAATTCTATATTACTATTAATTTTCTTTATATCAAAAACTTATTGCATTTGTTTTGTATTGTATGTAAAGTATTATGTTATATTTTGATATTTTTTATTATGTATTTAGGTAAGTACCTGTATCTTCTATTTTCATATTCTTTGTTTGTGTGCCATTTACCAAATAAATGCTTTTTCTTTTGTTCTTCTTTCTATTAGACAAAATTAATAAAATTCACTCAAGGCAACTTCGAGAATGGCTCGATTAGTTTCAAGTCATACCGGGACTTTTAATACCGGGACATTAATAAACACTTGTATAAATAAAAATCTGAACTGTTCTGACCGACTGAACCGATTTGGCAAATTTTTACCGACTTCGAAAAAAAGAGGAGGTACCTACTATGTTCGGCTGATTGTGTTTTTTTATGGACTTCATTTTTTTTGTTCTCCGATTACTCCGCCATTTGTGAACCGATTACCAAAATTCTTATTTTGATTGAAAGGGTATACTTCCGAAATTGTGACATTTCTATGAGGTTAGGATCTGATGATGGGATCCTAGGGAAACCGAGGGGAAATTTCGATAATTGTAGGGGCGAGTAATGCGTCTATTACGTTTTTTAATTAGGATTTTTAAACACTACAATTTGATAAGGGTCTGGAGTTCGGGAATAAAAGGCGTGATGTTATGTTATGGGGTCGGGTTACTCACGTAGCTACGTGTTTGTCTTGTTCAAACAGTTGTTTGATGAGGAACTCGACTAGTGTCAAGCCATGCGAGAAGCTCATATTCATGAGCAGCATTCCGCGACATATGTACGACGCGCCGCTACATCGACTAAACTAGTCAACGTCCTCATTGAAATTTTTTTTAATTTTTTTATTTAATATGCTTCATGCACAAAATGTACAAAAAGGTGGACTTAATGCCGCAGGCATTTTCTACCAGTCTGACCTTTGGGTGATGTAGAGAAGAGTAAATGGCAGGTGCAAGAGGCAAGCAGTGATTTTATTTAACAATGAAAGATGAACAATGAAACTAATATATTTCGGAGATATACATACATAAATAAATTTAATTATAGAGGTAATGTATACCAACACATGAGTACAATATGCCTACATACATATAGAAATAGTGTCAGATCACGCCGAAAAACATAAAAATTTAGGCAGTTTTTTAACATAACATAACATATCACGCCTTTTATCCCCGAAGGGATAGGCAGAGGTGCACATTATGGCACTTAATGCCACTGTACAATGTAACAGCCACTTTTCACTATTTATGTTATGAGTCACATGTAATAGGGGGTGAGCCTGACATATACCGGGCACATTTCCAGACTCCATGCTACTACTGAGATTTTTAAAAACCCAGTAAAACTTTGCTCGACCCGGGAATCGAACCCGAGACTTCTTGTCCGACAGTCGCACTTGCGACCACTCGGCCAACGAGACAGTTTTTTATTATGAAAAAAATGTTTACATACCGACCAACGAAGCAGGCTTTTATTATTAGTTAGAAATATAGCTTCGCTTACGTCTTGCGCTACGTTACAATCCTAATCCGCAGTATAAAAGGCACAAGGCTACCACTACTGCCTCAGTCATAGTAGGCGCGTTTCGCGTTTGCCACTATAGGTAATGTTGTGTAAACAATAGTACCTAGTGCAGTGTTGTGTTTGTGCTCCAGTTTTCCGAGTTTCCGACTTTCGGGTTCCGAGTTGCCGACTTTCGGGTTTCGAGATTCCAAAGTTTCGGGTTTAAAGTTCAGCGAATAGGGAGCACTGGTGAGTTTATTTGATTTTATTTTTATTTTATAGTTTTAAGGTTTGTAGTTCTGATTGATTATAAAGTAAAAAAGTTTAGATAATATTAATTTGCGTACCTGAACAAATTTGTTGTAAGAACAAATCGTTTGCGAATTTATTTATGAAGAGCAAAAGTTATATAAATAAGTATAAATTGATATTCAGTATATAATTAGTATAATTACTATAATTGTAAATATCATTATAAAAATGAATCCCTTTTTTCTTGGTCATGGCATCACCCGTGAATGGTTGGACCGATTTCACTAATTCTTTTTTTGTTGTAATTGTTATTATTAAGAGCAGGTTCATAAGACAGAAAAAGTCTTGAAAATCCTACGGGAACGGGAGAAAACAGGATTGCGCGTACGAAGTAGCGGGCAGTAGCTAGTATATATAAATAAAAATGAATTTCCGTTCGTTAGTCATGCATGCTAAATCTCTAAAATAGCTGTACCGATTTGGCAATTTGTGGGTCTCCAGAGATGAATTAAAAGATGAAAAAAAATTTTTAGACGAATCAAAGTTTTGCGGGGTCAGCTAGTTAGTTATAAATATACCTAGTATATTCATGATATTTAGCAAAAAAACCCTAATTTGGTTACAAATAAGTCAGGATAAAGTAGTCAAGCCGTCATCATCGGCTTATAGAGGTCCGTTGCTTGATATAACCTCTTTTACGGCGCCCCTAAAAAAAAATACCGGGCACATTTCCAGACTCCGTGCTACTAATGACATTTTTTTTAAAACCCAGTAATATTTTGCCCGACTCGGGAATCGAACCCGAGACCCCTTGCCCAGCAGTCGCACTCGCGACCACTCGACCAACGAGGCAGTGAATAAATATATATAACAATAAATAATAACAATCATAAATATAATGGGGTATTGATAATGGGCCCTGGTATAATGGGATATTATAGAAGGAATAGACAATATACTTACTTACTATAGAAAAATTTGTAAATATATCGAAAGTATCCGTTTCTGTAAGAAAATAAAAAATACGTGTCTAATGATTTAAAATAATCTACCAGACGGACATTAAAATAAAAATTAGTCATATACCCTATTTTAATCGTTTTTGTTTTCGGGTTATTCATGCAACATCAGCCTTAAGTGAGAGAGAGCCATGCTTCGGCACGAATGGGCCGGCTCAACCGGAGTAATACCACGGCCTCACAGAAAACTGACGTGAAACAACGCTTGCGTTGTGTTTCGTCGTGTGAGTGAGGTTACCGGAGGCCCAATTACCCTTCCCTTCCCCAATCTCCCCAATTTCTGAATACCCCACGATCCTCAAACTCCTAATCCCTAAAAGGCCGGTAATGCACTTGTAACGCCTCTGGTGTTTCGAGAGTCCATGGGCAACGCCGATAGCTTACCATCAGGTGATCCGTCTGCTCGTTTACCGGCTTATGCCATAAAAAAGCCTTGATCAGTTGATTACAACTATTATAACATAAAAGAAACATATCCTTCCTTACTTAATATTATAAATCGGAAAGTGAGTTTGTTTGTTTGTTCCGCTTTCACGCCGTAACTTCTAAACCGATTGCTTTGAATTTTTGCAGACGTAAAGTTAGAAGTCCGGAATAAATAATAGGGTACTTTTTATCCCGGAAAATTTTGATATTCCCGAGGGAAAACAAAAGTATTGGTATAGATGGCGCTGTGTGTATTGGTATATGTCACGTAGGCTACTTTTATCCTTTTTTGACGCGAGCGAAGCCGCGGGTAAAAGCTAGTATGAAAATAAAACTAGTTTTTTACCATCACCTGTCGTTTTTCGGGAGCATCCGTTTACACCCTGTATTAGCCGACTTCAAAAAAAGGAGGTTGATGTCGGCTTTTTTATTTAAAAACCTCGCTTAGTCAGTAGACAATAGGCACCAACTACAATTACTCTAATTGCCTAAATAGTATACACGGCTACACATCGAGCTTTACATAACCAGTATAAACGGATCGTTAAATGTGTGGAAAGATGATGCGACGCGGCACCAGGATAAACTGGTATTGTATAGATTGATGTGTGGCCGTCTGTACATGAAGCTAGCGTTACAGCCTTAAGCCAAACTAGAGGCATTAATATACAAGTTTATATGCAAATTATATATGTATATATAACAACGCGGAAACGTCTAAAAGATAATATATGTAATAGAACAAGTAGATATGTCCTTGTGCTAACAAAATTATTATTTTTTGACCATTATTTATTAGTCCAGTTTTAACTAGCTAATGGTTTATTATTAGACTTGCACTCTTGAATGTTAAATATGTATGTATGTATATATGTATGCACATTGTATTGTACTCGTGTGTAGGTATATATATTACATACCATAACATAACATCACGCCTTTTATCCCCGAAGGGATAGGCAGAGGTGCGCATTACGGCACTTAATGCCACTGTACAATGTAGCACTCAATTTTCGCTATTTATTCTAAGAGTCCCATGTAACAGGGGGTGAGCCTATTGCCATATAGCAGGCACAATACCAGACTCCATGCTACCACTGAGAATTTTTAAGTGAAACAAGTGAAACTGTTCCTAACTGACTACGCTGAGAAGAAATGCTAAAACAAACTCAGAGGTCTGTTTTTTTTAAAGTCCAGACAAATATGTATGTAAGATTATGTGTGAGAAGATCGTTCTGTAGTGGCCTTTGGAGTATTAGCGGCTCATACACAAAACTGCGGTGCGACGCGCATCGCAAAAATGTGCGAGCTCCCTCTACGCATCGCAAGGACTTACGAATTGATTCGTATCGCGCATAAAAATCTTATGTTCCCAAAATGTTATGTTCTTTCTTTATTTTTTCTGTATCTCCTAAGCAATAACAAAAGTGAATACTTCTTTTTACGATCCATGTCACGACCAAATTTCATTCTAAAATACGTTTAGTACGGTTGACGGTCGTCGAAGGAATGGCCACCCTGGGAGACGCCTTGACGCACGAAATCGCATCGCAGCAATTCTCATCGTGATTTTTTGCGTTGCGAATTCACATCGCATTGTTTGTGTACGAGCCCTTACATTAAAAATGCAGTTAAGTGAGTACTAAGCATTACCTAATTTGGTAATTTCAAAGACAAAAGACTATAAATACTTAGTTGTAGAATAAAAAATAGCTAATAGTTCAATTAGTGATCAATTATACTAAAGCCTTAACCGCAAAATGTAAGTGGGTTTTTAATACCTAATGGAAAACAATAATGGTTCCGAAAAACACATTAATCTCCAGCGATCTGTGGCCGACTATAAAAATGGATCTTCGAATAACAAAACTAAACTTCCGAATAGAATATTGAACCTCCGACAAAATTACTAAGTTACCGACAACAGACGTTTTAGGTTAGGTTAGTATTGTAGTAATAAACAGTCATGTATAGTAGTCGGAAAGTTAGTATTTTAGGCAGTAGATTTAATATTTTCAGTAAGGACAATTCTTCTTTTCTTGTCGGAGCTTTTATTACTACCCTTTAATAATTATATGGCTTTTGACCGACTTCTGTAGTGTGTATGTTCATTGCTTCTACCATCGTCTGCCTAATAGAGGAGTTTCCTAAATTTTATTTCACTGTCCTTCTGGTTTTTTAAAAAATTCTCAGTAGCACGGAGTCTGGAATTGTGCCCGGTATATGGCAATAGGCTCACCCCCTATTACATGGGACTCATAACATAAATAGTGAAAAGTGGGTGTTACATTGTACAGTGGCATAATTGCATCTCTGCCTACACCTTCGGGATTAAAAGGTTGATTAGTTTAAAACAATTGGTCGTAACGCAATGTTTAGCCTATAGCCATCCCCGATAAATGCGCTATCCAACACAAAAATAATTATTCAAATCAGACTTGTAGTTACGGAGATTAGCGCGTTCAAACAAACAAACAAACAAAAAAACAAACAATTCCACTTTATATAATAGTGTGAGATTTTCTCACAAAATTCGACGATATATCAATTTGAAATATCGTGTGACGTCACAACACTTGTAGCACTTTGTGACGTAGCAACCTCCCACTCCTAAAATAAACACAATTTTATATAAATATTGTAACTTAAACGTTGAACCACACTAAGATTTTCTCCTGTGTCGTGGGTGCATTTACAAACATACAAGTTCACACGCACCTGAAACAACAATTTGTGGATCACACAAAGATTTGCTCCGTGCGGGATTCGAACACGAGAAATGGGTGTATTCATAGAAATAGTTCGGAGTCGCGGAGAACCTCTCGGAGTCGCGGAGAACCTCGGAGTCGCGGAGAACCTAACGGGTAACCGGGGCTCCGACTCGACGTGCAGGAGAAGGAACGGGGTGGTTTTTAGTCAGTAAGAGTCTGACACTCCCTCCCGCCTCACCCAGACGGGAGCAGTCATTCGATGATTTTCCCCTCTTAAAAAAATAAAAAAAAAATTCATAGAAATAGTCGATTCTTCTGGCCTCCTGAGGATGGGAGTCCCGAACACGAGCCCCCAGTGCCCTTGTGGTAAAGACGGTTATGGTTATGAAGTTAAGGTCTCTGTACACAGCGGGCGCGGCGCGGCGGGACGGGACGGCTCTATGTGCACCGGTAACCGACGGCTCAGTGTCGCGTCACCGTCCCGTCCCGCCGCGCTCTGCACCCGCTGTGTGCAAACACCTTTACATCATTAAAAATCCCGCGTTGAAGTGATTGAAGGTGTTATATACAATCTTTAACTATGTAAACATAGACGTCTGAAAGAAAAGATATAGATACGGCAAAAAATATTGTTGAAAAGTAGTTGACAAAATAGTTCGCTGGTTAAATTGAAAATAAAAAATGAACGCAACTTTGCTTAGATTGAGTGTGAGATACCAGCAGCTGTAGCTAAATGCCATTTAGCGCTTGTCTACATGTAGAATAGAAAACCAAATTATATGGAATTGACGTAAATTTTGACACTTGTCAGTGTCATCCCCATACATTTAGTTTTCTACTC